TCTTTCCCTGCAGCATTGCTACGTGTTACTGGGCCCATATGATTCATTCAGTAGGAGTGAATAACAGTATGGAAATCCTCAGATTTAAAAGGGGAAGTGTTTTATTCTGCTTTTCTAACTTATCTGATGAGACTGTGAAGAAAGCTTATCAAATGTTTTCAAGCCTGGTTTATTGTAATTATTCCAGTTTTCAGTTCAATTTAGAAATAGCATTTTTTAATGCACCCTACAGTTTGAGTTACTCACTCTTAACAGTCCTGTGAAATCTAGAACAGTGAATTTTGAGTTGTTTGGGTTTTTTTTAAAAAAAGTTCATTCAGGGAGAAGAGGAAGTTGATCAGGAGAAAAACTAGCAAATTAGCATTATTCTCCCGTTTCTTAGTGTTGTGAGATTGGCCATTGTTTTTCCAACAGGAAACACAATCACAAACTTGAGCATCAGAGGGCTTGTGCATTCTCAGATGACAGACAATATTTGATTTGTAGCTGTTCTGGGTTACTAATTTTAAAACAGAAATTTCCTTAATCTGGATGAAAGAAAAAGGCTTTTCACAGAAATGAAATCTCTTGAATCATTTGATCAAAACTCCCAATTTTCTGCAATACTATTTTATATGAAAACTTAATGTAAGAAGTTGGCTCCTCTTCTCGCAATCTTTTGTCTTAAAGCTGCTGGACTATATGTTCAAATAATCTGAACTCTAAAAAGAAGATACAGGCAGTTAAGTCAATTTACCCTTTCTTTTACAACTGATTCTTCAGTTTCCCTTTTTAGCTCTCGTATTTCCACTTTCCTCCTGCTCAGAAATATTTAATAACTTGTGTGAGGGAAGGCTGAAGAGGAAAGGTTGCTGTGCTTGATGTCCAGTAGGATAGGAGTTGGATAATCATTTGAAGACTTGTTACTGGAGCCAGTTTTTGGTCACAGGGTGTTGGTAACAGAATAAGTTTTGGTATAATTTGGCAGCCTGCTGAGGAATAGAAATGGTTTTGTAATCTGTGTGCTGGATGTGTGATGCTGGCAGGAAGTGGCACAATGAGAGGATTACAGAGGACTGTTTTACAAGAGTATAGGAATACTCTGCATTATGTGTTCTTAGCCAGGTTTGTTGCTTCTTGTACAAGGATTCTACCTGGTGTTTTCTTTTTGACTGCAGAAACTTCTAATAATGAATATTCCACAGTGGTGCAAATACCCAAGGCAAGTGAGCTTGAATGGATTTTTTCCCTGAATGAAGAGGAAAATGAAATTGTACGCAGTGAATTTTATTATGAACAGGTGAGGTCTGGAGAAAGAGAGTCCAATATGAAGACTTCCCTGGAGAAATACCTCAGTACCCATTTTTGTCTTTCCTCAAATTGTCAGGCTCCCAGCTCTTCCTTGTGTATTGCCATCCTTAGCCTGCATAGTGACAGCATAGCGTGTGGCCACCAATTGATAGAGCACTGCTGCAAGTTGTCCCAAGGGCTCACTAATCCTGAGGTGGATGCTGGTCTCCTTATGGACATCATGAAACAATTGCTCTTCAGTGCCAAAATGATGTTTGTAAAAGCTGGAAGGAGCCAGGATCTAGCTCTCTGTGACAGGTGATTTATCAGATGTTCACTAGAATGTGTGAGGTATTGTCGAGACCATTATCCTTTTTTTACTGGGGAGTGAAGGGTGGGGGGGTTGTTTTGTGATTGTACTATGGACATTTTAAACAAGGAGAGGAGTTTATGATGTAAGGATAATGTAAGAGTTCAAATAGCAGAAGTTCAATATGACTACATAATAATTACTGAGAAAATTCTCAGAGGACGGAGAAATAAATCACAAAGACTGAGGTAAGTATTTTACTTCTGATATTGTGTATCTGCTTTCAATTAATATTTCCATATAGGATTTTAAACCTGTACTTCCTGAGAATGAGCATTTTACACTTTCCTCAAGCTTTGTCCTATGGAGCTTGAGGTGGCAATTGTAATATATAAATTTCACATGTACTATTTCAATTTGGTAACATATAGCTGGTGTCTGCAATCAGCATCTGCCAGTGTTCTGCTGAACATGGCAAAAAAACAATAAAAAATAGTCTGAATAGGGTAGTATGATGGATAGAGAGAAACCTGGTATACTGGTGATCAGAAACCACTGTTCTAAGAGCTGTCTTTGACATAAAGTTCTTTACATGAAAGATAATAGTGACAGTGTATATATTTATTTAACTTTTTTGTTTTCTCCTAGCTACATCAGCAAAGTGGATGTGTTGAATATTTTGGTTGCTGCTGCCTACCGTCCAATACCATCTTTGGATCAGATTCTTCTCCCTGCAGCAGTAACAAGATTAAGAAATCGGCTTCTGGAGGCAGAGTACTATCAACTAGCTATAGAGGTAATGACAGTGGAGGGATGTCAGTGTTATTAATGCTTCTGTAGTGGCTTTTGTTTTTCTCCCTCCTGAGTTCAGATGGATGCAATGTGTGAAATGGACAATATTTAAACAGTTACAAACTGGGATTAAGTTTCTAAACAAGGAAGAAATAATTTTCTGAACACTGGAAAAAATTTCTGAGAAGGAAAAGTCCTTCTGGTGTGGAGCAGGCTGCTGAAAGGAAGGGTAGGCGCGTTGTTTCCCAATACAATTAAAACTGGCAAGGACTAACTGCAATAAAGTAATGAAATGGAGAAATCTTGCATCCAGTAGAAAGGCTGAGTCATCCTTTGTGGCAGGATTTTATCTGAAGCTTGCATGTTTGATTTCATTTGTCTGTAATCCTACGGCAGACATTACTAAGGCACTTTTCCCAAGCATTTATTTGGAAATCAGTAGTGGTGGCAAATCTATCTGTCCGAGCTCATCTGGTGTGGTTTATCATCTTCTGTCTTCCTCCTGCTCCCAGGATTTCTTAAGCCTCAGTTTTATGGCATTGCAGTTTAAGAACAGGATTATGATACTACAAACAGGATTGCGATTTTTAAGTTTTTTGAATAGATGACCTATTTGAATAAAAATGGTTCATGTTTAAAGGCAGCTGGTCTACTAAAGGTTCATGTTTAAAGACAGCTGGTCTACTAAAGAAAATCAGGAATAAATTTGATCAGCAAAGTTCTGTGAAATAAAAAAATTGCCTGGCAGTTTGTGAAGCATCTTCTGTTGCTTTTTCTTGAAGTACAAACCTGATGAATTCTGCTGTGTAAAAATCATCCACTTGAGAAAATTGCATGTGGAAATGTCCTGAGTTTTAAAACTTGTAAACTGAAATTTCCCAGATAAATAGTTGCTTAAACTTGTACAATAAAAATATGTCCACATTTGGAGATTGTTGGTGTTCTGGTAGTTGATGTTTTGTGCCAGTAATATGGAAATAATCAGCATGGGTTATTTCTTGTTTTGTTTTTAATGGGAAATGTTCTCTAGAAAGTAGGAAGTCACAATCGCATGCTGTGTGATAAACCAGTTTTCCTGTTTTCTGTACTGGGACTGTGTTGCAATATTAACAAACGACTTTGAATTTAGGTTTCTACAAAATCTGGGTTGGATCCAGGTGGAGCATGGCATGCCTGGGGCATGGCTTGCCTTAAAGCTGGAAATTTAAGTTCAGCAAGAGAGAAGTTTAACCGTTGTTTAAAGCCACCTATGGATCTAAACCAGCTGAACCATGGTTCAAGGCTAGTCCAGGATGTGATACAATATCTGGAGTCAACAGTGAAGCCCATACTTATTGCGGTAAGAGTCTTCTGTTCTGTCTGTTCTGAAGGGCTATAGCAAAGCCAAGTAATGATGATTTAATATGTATCTTATAGCAATGCATGTTACAGTATCAGGTGTTAGGTCTCTTTCCTTCTTTTGTCATGATTGTATATTGCAAACTGAATATTGTTGAGAAATTTGTTAGCTCTTTCATCACAGTGAATTGGTGTCTGAGAGCCAGGTCATGGGATTTTATAGTAATTTGGGGCATACTTTAATGGAGGGGAAAGAAGTGGTAATGGTTTAACGTGTTATTGCTAGAGTCTGAGGAAATTAAACTAAATCCCAGCAGTATGTTGTGATGCTGCAGTGATCCCATTTTTCTACTGAAACTCTGATAACTTTGCAGGAATTTAAAGGAGAGTTTACAAATGCAGTCCCACTGTTCTTTCCTTGTCAGAAAGCACTATTACACGATTTGGGATTAGCTCTGAAAGTTCTGATAAGGTACCAAAAAATTGGTTTTAGTACTAAGTAACTGCAGATTTATAATTATGAAAGACCACTTAATAGTACATATTTTAGGAGAATAAAAAAAAGCCTGTTTGAACTAGGTTATTGAAGAAGCTGTTGACAGTGGAATTGTGTTTAAATAATCCTCCTGTCTGTCTCTGGAAACAGCCATGCTAGCTCCAGCAATGTTCAGCACCTCTGTTGATAGCAGGGTTCCAGTCTACTGTATATAAAAAGCATTACTGGATTCTCAGCCTGCTAAAGCGATATCTATTTTAAACCCAACAATAACAGAAATGCTTCCGGGCTGAGTGACAAGATCTAACTGAAAAGAAAGTTTTCCTTTTACTAATCACCTATCATTGATTCTCTCTTTTAACGGCAGGATGATGATTACTTTGCCACATTGAGGGAACTTGAAGCAACACTGAGAACAAGAAGTCTGTCTCTGGAGATGATGTGTGAGGGGAAGATTCAACACAACAGCTACTATCAAGAGTGCTTGTTCTATTTGCATAGTTATGGTACTAACCTGGCAATAATAAGCTTTTACATGAGGCATGACTGTATGAGAGAAGCTCTGCTTCACTTGTTAAATAAGGTGAGTAATCTAATTTGCCATCACCTAAACTGAAATTTGAAAAGTAGCTAAGAGGACTTCAAGGCCAGCCTAAGACGGTAAGGAGCATCATGCAGCATTTGCAAGACCATAGTCAGAAGGTCAAGGGAAGTAAATATATCTCCCTCAGCTCACTACTTGTGATGTTTCATCTGAACTACTGTGCCCAGTTTTGGGTTCCCTAGTTCAAAACAGACGTTGTCAAAGTGGAGCAAGTCTAATGGAAGTCCACTAAGGTGACTAGGGACCTGAAGCACATGATATATGAGAAGAGTGATAGAGATAGGTTTTTCCATCTTGAGGAAGAGAAGGCAAAAGGAGATCGGTGTGCTATTTTCAGCTACCAAGTGGTTGATTGTAGGGAAGATAGAGCCAGATTTCTCTCACATGTGCACAGTAAAAGGGTAAGAGACAGTGGACACAATTTGGAGCAAGGGAAATTCCAACTGGGTAGTAGGAAAAGTTGGGGTTTTTTTTGCAGTGAGGATATTGAGACATGGGAAATGAGCCCCAGAGAGGCTGTTGAATTGCCCTACTTTGTCAAGTTCAGAACTTGACTGGACAGGCCCAGAGCAGCAGGACCTAACTTGGAAACCATTCTTTGAGTGGGGGTTTGAACCAAATGATCTCTGGAGAGCCCTTCCAGCCTAAATTACTTATTAATTTTGTGATCTCTGTCACTTAGTACTTTTTTATGTTAATATAAGGAAAATCAGCAAGCCGCAGTGGCTTTGCTTCAAGCTGCCTCCCTGATGTTTGTGTAGGAATCGCCATCAGAAGTGTTTATTGAAGGGATCTTCATTCCAAGTTATGAAAGTGGAAAACTGCATATGTTGGAGAACTTGCTGGAAACCATTGATCCAGGATTGGAGAGCTGGGGAGTCTACTTGATTGCAGCTTGCAAATACTTGCAGAGAAAGAACTACTACCATATTCTGTATGAGCTGCAACAGTTCATGAAGGTAAGATGAGAGTCAGTGCCATCTCTTTCAGTGAAATGTTGAATACTGTCACGCTTTTCGTTATTTACTTTGGTGTAAATCTGTATGATGGACAAGTATATTTTTGCTGCTTTCCAATGCTAAAAAAGAGATAGGAAGGCCTGAGCCTGACTAAAGCTGACCTGCTATGCTTTTGTCGTAGATCTGGTGCATTGCAGTAGCTTAACTACTCTTTGAAAGAAAACAGAGTATTGCCTGCCTTGTGTGAGCACTTTAGTATGGACAGTGATTAGTGAAGGTGGTGTACTTTCGTCTGTCTTAATGTTCAGTATATTTCTTCTAGGATCATGTTCGTGCTGCCATGACCTGCATTAGGTTTTTCACTCATGGAGCAAAGTCTTACGCTGAACTGGGAGGCAAGCAGACATGGCTTCTAAAGATCAAGGACCATCTCAAAGTGTATCTGCAGGAGCTCTCAAGAAGTTCAGGAAGAAAAAAAGTGGCAATCACTTTTCGAAAAAAAATGTCTGCTACAGATGTGTCGAGGTATCTACAAACATAAAACTAAATTATAAGAATTATAAGAAATGGAAAATTCAGACTTTTGTCTTTTTTTTTTTTTTTTTTTTTTCCTCCACTGTTGTGTTTAAGTTGACTTTAGCTAATGCATGCTAGCTGTGCCTGACCCAAAACTGACTTCTCTGTAGTTGCAAGTATAGGATTCCCATTACCTTTTGCCCCAACAGCCCAACTCAGATGATGAGCAATTTTTTCTACTGAAAGTATCAATCTATGTATCATATGTCTTCCTCTAATTTAAAAAACAAACAAAACCCCTACAGTGCATAGACAGCTATATATCAATCCACAAGTTTTATTGCTTTTATTCTTCCTTTCCTCTCTACAAAGCAAGCAGCTCTGTGGTGCTTAACTGCCTATCAGGGTTAACTCACAACATTCGACTATGTACAAGTTATAGGTGCCATACATAGCTGAATCCCTGTATTCAAAAGCTGAAATGTAAATTTAGCCAGATCTCTCTTGTACTTGAACTTTTATATCTTGGTTTTGTTAGGGGCCTTTTTTTTGTTGTTTTGTTTTTGGGTTTTTTTTAGACTAGACTCTAACTTAAAGGGGGGGATGTGATGAGGTAGAAAAGAGGGAGCAGATACTTATTTGGGATCCAGGTTCTATGGCTGACTTTGAAATATTGTGACTCAGTGCTCATCTTCAGCTTGTGATGCATGTTAAGTGCACAGATCTGAAAAGTATCTCATTGCTGCAGACTTGACTACGCAAAAGACAAAGTCAGAAAGTAACTAAAATGATTATTATTTAGAAATATGTCTGTCTTTGAAATGTGTTCAAGAAATTAGTAAGTTCACATAAATAATAATTGACAGCATTCTCTATCTCTCTATTTCAAAATAAAGTCAGAATTTTTTCTCTATCTAGGCACATCAATACCGTTGATCTGCAGATGGAAGTAACAAAGTTCCTGCATCGATGCGAGAGCTCAGGAACCTCTCAAATGACAGGTTCTTCCTTGCCCACGCTCTTTGGAAACAATAACATGAAAACGGATGTTGCTTGCAAGGTACTTCTTGCTATTTCAAACACAACTCTATTTTTAAATCAACAGTGCTAACTTGATATACAGGTTGAAACGTTTGATGGTTGGAGTAGCCTCTTGTATTTTTCATGGACAGGTTACTTGTGCATGTATGCAACCTACTGTTTATGAAAAATTCATGTGGTTCCTCAAAGTAGCAGAGAACACCTGAGAACTTGGAGCTCCTCTCCTCAAAGTTCAAACTGTCAGAGCAGAGGATCCCAAATACAAATAGTAACATGCCTTTTGAGTATACATCCTATTGTGTTTTAAAGCAAGGCAAATACTGCTATTATTTGAACTATTCTTAACTTCAGCTCAGCTTCATCTGTACTTGCCTAGTGTCCTGCAGGGAATCAGTGCGTGTGACAATAGACCCCATATTTGCTCTACTTGTTGGGATGGTGCTGTTTTCTGTTGAAGTAATGCACTGTCTCTTGACCTCTGGGCAAAATCTGGAAATGCATTATTATTTTAACTACGTGCAATGAAAAAGGAATGTGCATCCCCAAACTTGTCTATGCCTCTTTTTTTCAGGTCATGTTGGAAGGCAAAAACATTGAGGAGGGGTTTGGGATTGCATTTAGAGTCCTTCAGGTATGGAAAAACTTGAAATTACAAGCAGTATTATTACAAAAGTAACTCTTGCAAGCAGCAATTATTTAAGCGAAAGGCTTTTTTTGCAAAATGTCTTTTAATCCCCCAAAAGAAAAACCTCTTGTGAGAAAAGTCACTAGTTCAAGTCTTAAACGTCCATGTATTTTGAGGAAGCTTCATAAGGAAATTAAGATGCTGCTTCAGTAGGACACTTCCAAACTAATTGGGTCCTACAAAGGAATGAAGTATGGCTTTTCCTTTGCTGTGCACCTTGTTCAGTGACTACTCTGGCAATCACAGTCACAGATGTGAGTAGAGAGCTCTGACTTGGTAGCTCTCTGCAGTTCATTACAGCCATGCCAAGACACAGTGAATAAATAAGGCCAGGGCTGTCTCTGTACTATTCTCCTGGCTGAGAGACCAAAGCTAATTAACTGGAAACTCTCTGTGGAGATCTCTCCTTCCTCATGTCTGGGTAGAAGTTGAGGTGTTTATCAGTCAGCATAGCTCATGAGCCTCCAAGCTTTTCTGTGTGTTTCTCAACCATATATTAGGAGCTGCTGAAAGATACTGCTTCAAGCAATGCAGTTTGCAGTTGCCTCTTGTCTGGGGCAGAGGGTATAGCAGGGCCACTTCTGGACAAAGGTGGCACACTGAAAGAGTATTTGTGGATATGGCAGGCCCTGCTCCTTCTTTCAGGTCAGGATGTACAAGGCAGGATGCCTGTTTGTAGTGAGATGGAGAACCTTAAAAAAAATAGCACTTCTTAGCAGCAACAGCACTCACTACCTTCCAGTAAAAATGGAGCAGCAAGTCCAGCTGCCTAGCATCACTTCTGTTTCCTTCCTTT